GCCACCATTCCTAAGATGCTCTCCAATCTTATCAGCAAGCAAAAGACTATCTCCTTCATTGGTTGCCTCTTGCAGATGTACTTCTTTCATTCACTTGGAAACACTGAGGGAGTCTTGCTGACTGTCATGGCCATCGACAGATATGTAGCCATCTGCAGACCACTTCACTATCCAACAATCATGACCTCCAGGCTATGTGCTCAGCTCTCTGCAGGCTCCTGTATCTTTGGTTTTATGATCCTTCTACCAGAGATTGTATGGATTTCAACTTTACCCTTCTGTGGTCCCAATCTAATCCACCAGATCTTCTGTGATTTCACCCCCTTGTTGAATTTAACATGTACGGATGCATCTGTGATTCTGGTGCAAGATGTGATTCATGCTCTTGCCATTATGATAACAGCTCTGGTTATTTCTCTTTCTTATATCAGAATTATCTTTGTGATCTTAGGCATCCCTTCAGCTGAGGGTCGCAAGAAGGCCTTTTCCACGTGTGCTGCCCATATTGCTGTCTTCCTGCTGTTTTTTGGCAGTGTGAGCCTCATGTATCTCAGATTTTCTGCTACTTACACACCCTTCTGGGACACTGTGATTGCTCTGATGTTCTCTGTGCTTGCTCCCTTTTTCAATCCTATTATATATAGCCTGCGGAATAAGGATATGAAAGAGGCAATTAAGAAGCTCCTTTGTTCTCAGAAAGTGTTTACTATATCTCAAAAGTAATTTTGGCTACACATCTCTATAAAAATGTTACTCTTACCAAATCTCAAAAGAGATGAAATTAAGAAAATTATAAGATTAGTCCAATTTTATCCAACATGAACTGGTGAACAATAGTAAAGAAATCCTTCTGCAGGTTTACAGAGACAACAAAAATAATTACTCATGCAATTTACAATGAATGGGGAACATTTTCTTGTCTTTACCTCTAACTTTATTTATTGGATCAGTTTTAATGATCTCTCTTACTTTAAAATTAACAATTATATAAATAGTAATACTCACATATATTACCTTAAATATTCAACCATTTCTCATCTTTGGTTTTTAACATGTCTCTACAATACCATTAGGGACCTTACAAAGTCCACATGGAACAGAGCACATGTTAATTCTCCATGACCCTAGGTTGTAGTGTTCAGTGAGATACTGAACTGTTGAAGGGTATACATTCCTTAATACCAAGATTACAGATTTTCTCCCAATTCTCTGAGTTTGCTCATGGATTTTCATGACATGCACAGATATGATCTGCCTGCAATGCTGTCCTCATCAGGGAAAAAATGAACTATATTTGATCTTGGTTAACTACCAAACAGAGAAACAGTATAGATCAGACCCCTGTCTTTGCAAAGTTTATATTTTTTGTGGAAACAATGGATGGTAATATAAACACATAATAAATGCATGTATTAATAGAATTTATTAACTGCTTAATCCATGTCTCTAAAAGGGTCTACGTTGCCTTTCATATTAGTGCAAGAATACATCATTCCTCAGTAATTGAAAAATATTTTTATGCTTTATACTTGCTGCTGCTCTAGTGATTTATTGCACGTGGGAAGACAGTCCAGGTAGCTACTGCTCTTTCCACCTTGTCCACATAAAGAATTGGTTGTTTAGAAGGTGAGGGACGTGTGTTGTTGTTCTGAACTCTTCAGCTCTGCCAAGTGTTAATGGGGATGTGGAGTAAAAGTAGGACATATTCACAGAAGGTAAGAATATTAACTACTGGAGCCATTGAGAGAAAAACCCAGTAGAAATTGCATTAAGCTGCAACGTATCTTCTATCTTAGTAACATTGATTTTAGGATTATTTTAAAATGATATATTTACATATTGGTAAATTGACATTCATGAAGTTCCGTTTGTTGATTGGATTGGTGGATGCAATCTAGAACCTATTCCATGAAAAGATATGGGAAGAATACCTCAGAGAAAAGTGTTTCACACATCATAAATTTAGTTAAAATAAAGTAACATGAATAATTTATACAAAGTCGCTGAAGACAATGGGTGCACAAACAAATGTGGTGAAGAAAGCTGATGGTGCCCAGCTACCAAAAGATATAGCATCTGAAGTCTTAAAGGCCTGAAGATAAACAAGCAGCCATTTAGGTGAGAAACAACAAAACCCACATGGAAGAAGCACACCAGCCTGTCCCGACTCATCACTGAAGACAAAGTGGATGCATAAGCAAAAGTGGTGAAGAAAGCTGATGGTGCCCAGCTATCAAATGATATAACATCTGGGGTCTTAAAGACTTGAAGACAACCAGGTGGCCATCTAGCTAAGATACAACAAAACCCACACAGAAAAAGCACATCACCCTACCCCGACACGAGCGCTGAAGACTAAGCAGGTGCATAGGTAAATGAGGTGAAGAAAGCTGATGGTGCCCAGCTGTCAAAATATATAGAATTTGGGGCGCCATAGGCTGGAAGATAAACAAGGGCCCATCTAGCTGAAAAACAACAAAGCCCACATGGAAGAAGCACACCAGCCTGTTAAATGACAGGGCGTCAAAGGGATCAGGTATCAGGCATCAAAGACAAAAAAAAAAAATTCATAGCATTGTGAATGAGGGGGAATGCAGAGTGGGGACCCAGGGCCCATCTGGGGGAAATTGGACATCCTCTTGAAGAACGGCTGTGGGGAGAAGATGAGCCAGTCAGAGTGCAGTGTAGCAATGATGAAATATACAATTTTCTTCTAGTTCTTAAATGCTTCCTCCACCCTACTATCATGACCCCAATTCTACCTTACATATCCGACTGGACCGGGGGATATACACTGGAACAGACAGGAACTGGAAATACAAGGAATCCAGGACAGATGAACCCCTGAGGACCAATGGTGAGAATGGCGATAACGGGAGGGTGTAGGGAAGGTTAGGGAGAAAGGGGGAACAGATGACAGGGTCTACATATCACCTCCTCCCTTGGGGACGGACAGTGGAGAAGTGGGTGATGGGGATGTCGGATGGTGTAAAATATGATATAATAATAATAATTTATAAATTATCAAGGGTTCAGGGTGAGGGGAGCGGGAAGGGAGGGGAAAAAATGAGGAGCTGATGTCAAGGGTTCAAGTGGAAAGCAGGTGTGTTGAGAATGATGATCCAACATATGTACAAATGTGGTGGACACAAATGATGAATGTACGGATTGTGAAAAGAGTTGTATGAATCCCTAATAAAATGATTTAAAAAAATGATTCTGAGTGTAAATTCAGTAATGTCATGGACCTAATGTGAGTTTAAAAATACATGTGCAAAAACCAAAATTACATTTTATACAATAACATATAAATACACAGAGCTATGCATCAAATAAATTTAAATGACTGTGGGTGAAAGAGAAGGGGATTAAAAATGAAGAAAATAAATTCAAAGTAAATTTCTAATACATATTGTGTTTATAAAAATCTTTTTTTTTATGAAAAAGAGCAAGTGCATTTAATACTCTGCAATATGTTTTCTGAATTAGGAATACAATTGTAATATTGTACTACAATATCCTATGTTATGATTATCTTTTCAGTTTTAAAAAATGCTTATGTTCATAAAAAAATCACAATAAATTCTACATTTAAGGTTGCACGTTCTAAATTTTGTGATATGAATTTCTAGAAGTATATCTACAGAAGTATAACTGGTATTGTGATCATTAAAATGTATGAAGTCAGAAATTTTAATTGTGAGTATTTAAAAATGTTGTCTAAATAGTGTATTCCTCTATATTCTTTGCTAATATACTCTTTCTAGTCTCTTTATATTCTTTCTATTAGGCTAAACAAACATATTTAAATTTACATGTGTTTGAAACTCATGGGAATAGAATAGTTTTGCATATATTTAATAGCTATTTGTAACTCTCATTGTGGTTAACAGCCTGATTAACATGTGATTAGAAATATGACTTTTTTTCTCATCGAAACTCATTGTAATCTTTTCTTTTAATCATTTTATTGGGGGCTCATACAATTCTTATCACAATCCATACATACATCCATTGTGTCAAGCACATATGTACATTTGTTGCCATCATCATTATCAAAACATTTGCCTTCTACTTGAGCCCTTAATATCGGCTCCTCCTTTCTCCCCCTCCCTCGCCACTCCCTTCCCTCATGAACCCTTCATAATTCATAAATTATTATTATTTTGTCATATCTTATACTGTCTGACATCTGCCTCACCCTCTTCTCTGCTGTCCATCCCACAGGGAGGAGGCTAAATGTAGATTCTTGTAATTGGTTCCCCCTTTCCACCCCACATTCCCTCCACACTCCAGGCATCACTACTCTCACCACTGGTCCTGAAGGGGTCATCAGTCGTGGATTCCCTGTTTTTCCAGTTGCTATCTGTACCAATGTACATGCTCTGGTCTAGCCAGATTTGTATGGTAGAATGGGGATCATGATAGTGTGTGGGAGGAAGCATTTACCCTGCACCCTGACTGGCTCATCTCCTCCCCACAGCCTTTCTGTACGGGGGCATCCAGTTGCCTACTGATGGGCTTTGAGTATCCACTCTGCACTCACCCTCATTTACAATGATATGGGTTTTTTGTTCTTTGATGCTTGATAACTGATCCCTTGGACAGCTCGTGGTCACACAGGCTAGTGTGCTTCTTCCATGTGGGCTTTATTTCTTCTGAGCTAGGTGGCCGCTTGTTTATCTTCAAACCTTTCAGACACCAGATGCTATATCTTTTGAATGACAGACACCATCACCTTTCTTCACCACATTTGCTTATGCACACATTTGTCTTCAGTGATCGTATCGGGAAGGTGTGCATCATGGAATGCCAATTTAATAGAACAACGTGTTCTTGCAGTAAGGGAGTACTTGAGTGGTGGCCCAATATCCATCTGCTGTCTTAATACTAAACCTGTAAATATATGCATGTAGATCTATTTCCCCACACTCCTATATAAATATATTTACATATGTACATGCCATTATTTAGACTTCTATAAATACCCTTTGTCACCTAATTCTTTCCTCTATTTCCTTTTACTTTCCTGTTGTCCCACTATCATGCTCAACCTTCATTTGGGTTTCAGTAATTTCTCTTGGTTACATTGCCCTTGCTGAATCCCTACCAGGCCTCTCACACTCTCCTAGCCACTGATTTTGGATCATTTGTTGCTGCCCTGTACCTGGGTTGGTCAGCACCACCTCCTTTCTCCTCCCTCCCCCTCTCCCATGTCCCCTTGGAACCATTGGTCCCATTGTTTTCTCCTCCAGACTATTCTTCCAGCCTATATTATCTAGATAGCTCTGTAGAGATAATAATATGCACCAAAAATCAAGCCATAGCAAGATAGGCGACAAACAAGAACACAGCGATGACTACAAAAAGGAAAACCAATGACACATAATGAATAAATTAATTAAAAGACAAAAAAAATTTTAAAGAAAGGAAAACCTGTAAATAGATCAAGGTCTGATTGTTTATCTCTAGATGTATCCTTCTGTCAGGTCCGCTGGGCTGCCATACTCTGGCCCCAGAGTTTGTCCTTTGTATTCCCTCTGGAGCTTCCGGCTCTGCTCGCACGGTTGCTCTGCTTCACACCTTTAGTGGTTTGCCTCAGTGTCACAGGGTCAGTCTGGGCCAGTCCCGACACTGTCTCCAGTCTTGTCCCCCTTAAGGCCCTGGCCAGCATGGGATGGCGTGTCTCATAGTGGAATCATCCATATGGTCCACTTTATGCA